AACCCTATCATAAATCGAGGAGCCCGCTGAAGGTGTATGAATCCTTAAGTTCTTGCTTTCAGGGAACTCAGTTTGAGTGTGAGACCAGCGGGGGACCCTTACCGTGGTGTGACCAGTAATGATGAGAAAGAGCAGTACTCAGGCTCACTGTGAGGGATACCCAGGGCACACTAGAGAAAACTTCCCAGACAGAAGAGGATGGGTTTTGAAGAATGTATAGGAATGGATCAGGTCGTGGGAGGGGCAGCATAAAACTGAAATTGGCCTCTTTGTCACTGACAGCTGGTTCTTGTTTGTCCTCCCCATTTACATAGAGTGAGTCTGCTGTCCTTTCCAAAGCTTATCATATGTTTGTACATAATTGTCGTGTTCCCCCTACATTTCTTCCTGAGGCCGAGGATGATATGTGATATGGGGAGGATAATTTTGGATAAGAGGTAAGCAGGGTGGAGAAAGAAAATTCAGTTTAGATAAAAGTTTAATTCATTACTTAAGCTCAGACACTTACTATGTGGTATGTCATTATCTTGCTGGGATTTAGTTTTCACCTTCCTGTGTTTCTTTTATTTTTAAAAATTTCTTTACTTTTTGGGATGGGTTCTCACTCTTTTGCCCAGGTTCAAGTGCAGTAGCAAGATCATGGCTCTTTGCAGCCTCAAACTCCAGGCTCGTGATCCTCCCACCTCAGCTTCCCGAGTAGCTGGAACTACAGGTGCCTGCCACAATTCCTGGCAAATTTTTAAATTTTTATGTATTTATTTATTTTGTAGAGAAGGGTTTTCCCTACGTTGCCGAGGCTGGTCTTGAACTCCTGGTCTCCAGTGCTCCTCCCACCTTGGCCTCCCAAAGTGCTGGGATTATGGGTGTGAGCAACCATGCCCCAGCCTATGCTTATTTTATTTATGAGTGAATAACAGGGTCTCACTCTGTCACTGAGGCTGGTGTATGCAATGGTGCAATCTTGGCTCACTACAGCCTCAAACTCCTAGATTCAGGTGTTCCTTCCACCTCAGCCTCCCAAGTAACTGGGACCATAGGCATGTGCCACCATACCTGGCTGTTTTCTGTATTTTTTGTAGAGGCAAGGTTTTACCATGTTGCTGGTTTTGAACTCTGGGGCTCAAGTGATCCACCTGCCTTGGCCTCCCAGAGTGCTAGGATTACAAGCAGGAGCCACAGCATCTGGCCCTGTGTTCCTTTTAAATGACTGTACATAGCACCTAGGTAACCTTTTAGATGATGTCTAAGATATTAAACAGTCTCCTTAGCTAAATCTCTTCTCATTAGGCATAAGTTTTAGTCTTACTACTACATAGGTTTTGTTTTTAACTCAAGTTGAATACAGAAGAGTTTCTTGATGTGATCTGTCCAAGAGTCACATCTGTCCTTTCCATTTCTTTTCCTGCAGCAGTGCTTTCTTCTCTTTGAGAACTCATCCGTCACTGTAGGATTCTCATTAACTTCTTGAGTCCCGTGTTCCACAGTGAAGTAAACTCAGTTTGTCAGATGAGACTTGTTCTTAGCTTAGTTGGGGAGGAAAATGTGAGAACTTTGCAGGTCCAGACACAGTACATAAATGGAAAGCATGGAAGAGTTTCTTGGAAAATCAGCTAGGCTGCCTACTAAGTAGTTCAGCAGTGTTCTGCATTAAAATGGCATTATGCCCTGTGGTTCCCCACCAGAGGTCAACTCAACCACAGCTTTGAAATTTTCCACTGCTCTTTGCTTTGAAGGTTTCTACTTAGCAAGGGCCAAAGTTTTTTCAACTGGCACTAGGCTGTTGCATGAGCTTCTATCAGTCTCTAATCTGGGATTCAGTTTCCTTATTTATAAAAATGGATTCTCTCTCAAATCTTTTTGTAATAGTGGATGATTTCAGTTTTTAATGCTTATTTTGTTTTATTGAATTAAATAGAAAAGACTATTATTTGGCAAAATCCTGGGTTTTGTTTGATTGTTTACTCTAGTGGCATTTGTCCTGACATCCTGATGACAGATACTCCTGAATTTAGGATGGGGCTGTGTCACAATAAACCCATTATTTGACTTACAGTATTTATAATTTCCGATGGTTTTATCTGGGTGTAACCCTATCATAAATCGAGGAGCCCGCTGAAGGTGTATCACTTTTTTTTGGTTTTCTTTGAGACGGAATCTCACTCTGTCGCCCAGGCTGGAGTGCAATGGCACAATCTTGGCTCACTGCAACCTCCACCTCTCGGATTCAAATGATTCTTCTGCCTTAGCCTCCCAAGTAGCTGGGACTACAGGCGTGCACCACCATGCCCGGCTAATTTTTGTATTTTTACAAAAACCAGTAGAGACCTGGTTTCACCGTATTGGCCAGTCTAGTCTCAGACTCCTGACCTTGTGATCCGCCCGCCTCAGCCTCCTGAAGTGCTGGTATTACAGGCGTGAGCCACTGCGCCCAGCTGAATGTGTATCACTTTTGCACCATTGTGAAGTCATAGGTCTGACCCATCGTAAGATGGGGTGATTCTGAATAACCAAAATACGGAAGCAGCCCAGATATCTGTCAGCTGATGAGTGTATAAACAGAATGTGGAACATCTATTCAGTGAGATATTGTTCAGCAGTAAAACTGATGGAAGTATTGTTACATGCTTTGCGAATGAACCTAGAAACATGCTTAGTGAAAGAAGCCAGTTACAAGGGCTACCTATTACTATGTGATACTATTTAAAATTTGTTTTTTTAAAAAAGGTTAAATAAGCCTGTTCCCAAAATACCTTCAAATTAAAAAAAAAAGTTTTAATGAGGTCAGATAAGCTGTTGTATGCTGAGATTTTAGCATTGATAGGAAATAGTAAAAAGCAGGACTGCCCAGGACTGTTTCCTTCCATACTGTGTGCACTACATGTGAGTGTCCGCTAGAGGACAGCAAAGCCTATTTGTGTCATTCCCTGCCAGTTCTCAAGCACTTTTAAAGAACCGAACCTAAATTCTTACATTGATATTCCATTGAAAAGATTTGAATTATCCTCTCAAGAAGAGAATCTGCAGTAGTGTCTGTCAGCTCTCCATTTATCAGGGGAGAAGACAGCAAGGCAGCTGTGATTGTGGACCTCAGTTTACTGTGGAGCTCTGCAAAAGTAAGGGAGGAGATTGCTGTTTCTCAAAGCAGATGTTGAAATATCTACAATGGAGGTTGGAGTAAGGAATTAGTTTCCAGTTGAACTTCAGCAGCTTCTTAAATGTAGATTTGTGTGTGTGCTTCCAGTTGACACCTTCCGCCTTCTTATGTCCGACTTTGTGTGCTGCTCCTTCTCGTCATTTGCTCTACCCATAAATTTATTATAACACAGCCGGCTCTCCTGTTGCGTCTCTCTATTTCCTGCTTCTCTTTCCTTTTTTCTTTTTTTTTTACGGAGACGGGTCCTTGCTTCGTCCACCCAGGTGGAGCGGCCAGCTGGGCCGGCTCTCATGCCTCCCTCGCAACGCTCCTCCTCTCGGCGTTCACGCCATTTCTCCTGCTCGCTCCGGTAGCTGCGGACTACAGAGGCACCGCATTCGCCCGGAGCTACGTTTTTTGTACATTTTTTAGTAGCGACGCGGGGTTCGTCCACCGTGTTACGGAGTGGTCTCATCTCCACTGACCATACATGATCGCCCCCGTCTCGCAGCCCTCCCACAAAAAAGTTGTGGGATCTACAAGGCTTGAGCCACCCGCAGCCAGCGCCTGTGGTTCCTCTATC